AAAAATTATAAATTAATAAAGTAACAGTCAAATTATTTAATTTTAATAAAGTTATGTGTGATCACGATGAGTCAATGACAGCTTGCTTAATTGTTTATTATTGAAAACAACGCAAGTTGTTAAGACGTCATTTTCAGCATCTCTCCGGCCTCTGCTTTCCACAAGAGGCAGCTTGTATGGATTGGTTTGGTGGAATAATATTTATACTAAATATCTCAATAACATTACTACCTAATTAGAATAAGAAATAGAATTGAGTCTTCAGGTTTAATGAATCATCTCTAATCTTTAATGCTTAGATTTAATTAGTCCAGAAGTTTGATTTTCACTAACAAAAAAAAACTCACATTCTCTAAAATTTATCATGTTCGAAAAATAATAATAATAATAATAAATAAATGAACAAGCAAGTTTCCTTTTTTAGTCTCTACCCAGATCGGAACGTGGATCTCACCACAGGTCCATGTTCACTTCTCTAAAGCAGACAAAGTTGCAAGTGCACACAATTATCCTCAATGACACTCTTCTAAAGACAATAAATTGAGTCTAAATTGTTTCAACTTTGAAGATTATGGTTAATATGGCATCAATGCCAATAGATGGAAGGATTGGTCCTAGCAAAATGGTAGGGTTCATTTCACCAGTAATCTTTACAAGAGCATGCCCCGTTCTTAAAATGGTGAAACCTATTGCAGTCTCTAACAACAATTTCCCTAGCAAATACCCTTGATATCATTGTTATTGCAGCATGACAATCAAGACAAATTCTTAGGTTCTTAACAATTCGAATTGGTGTACCTGGACTTGTATGCAAGAAGCAGTAGGCAATTGCCAATTTTTCACCGTGAAGGGATAGTGCCAGCTCTTTTCCTTCCTCATCCAAGTCAAGTAATACCTCCTTTGTGTTTCCTACATAGCCCTCTCTCTTCAGCCTCTTCATAATCTCATCAAGCATCACATAAATCTCTCTGCTCTCTGGATGAGAATCATCACCCACAAAGAACTCATGGAGGATACCTCCCACCTCAACCAAACTGCATCCTGGAACCTTCTTGATTCCCCTTCTCTCCATTATATTTCTCATGGACCTTACATCGGTCCATCTACCCATCTTTGCATACACATTCGAAAGGAGCACATAGGCACTGCTGTTCTTTGGATCCAACTCAATTAGTTTCTTGAGTGCAGCCTCACATGTTTCAATATTCCCGTGCATCCTGGATCCACTCAGCAAGGCTCCCCATACAAGCACATCAGGCTCCATAGGCATTGATCTTATCACATTCCATGCCTCGTCAATGAGACCAGCTCTTCCATAAAGGTCTACCATGCAACCATAGTGCTGAATCAAAGGAGTAATGCCAAACTCCTCTTTCATCCTCCTGAAGTACTCCTTCCCTGCACTCACCAAACCTGCATGAACGCAAGCACAAAGAATACCCAAAAATGTAATGGCATTTGGCCTAACCCCATGATTTATCATCT